CCTAACTGAAAAATTTGTGTATGTTCCAATATCACACCCATAACAAAAAATAATTTAGAATTGTTTGGATAAATTTGTGATTTAGTTACATAGTACAGATCATTATCAACATAAAAGACAATTTGATTCACGAAGTCTGTTGCTACAAAATACAACACAGAGGCACTTGAATTTTTATTTTCTGTAGAAAATGTCTAGAAATTCAAATGGTCAAATTTCCATTGCTATTTATATGAAACACATTATAAATTCATCACAGTATCACCACTATAAAAGTAGTTTCCACAAGGACCAAAATTTATTAACTAACAGGCAACAAATTTTGCAGCTGTATAGCAATCACTGCATCAAATAATCAGAGGCAATTTTCAACATACCTAACTAGCAGTTATTATGCACTCAAAAATCTACTTTCTAATCTTAATATTTGTATGCTTTTTCTTGACCTTTTTATATATTAATAATGATAAATTCTCAATATGCAACCCATTCACATTGACAAATACTATAGTAGATACAAAACATTTATTAAGAATGTGTAGTTTGCAAACATCCAAAATAAAATTAATCATTCATTTCTTAATTAGAGGACAATTGACTTACTACATAATTTTAAAAAATTGTACCGCTGGTATAAAATAATGATATTTATAAGAAATGCATATTAAAAATTATCATATAGCAAATAACTTCAATGTCTCCTTTAGAAATACCTATAATCCTGATATGGCCTCTACTGCAACAATTAGAAAGTGCAAGTCATTGCTCCACCTGATTTAAGAGCAAAAATTCAATTATAGAATTATACAGAGATAAAGAATAAATTCCTTTACAAGTGCTTGAACTAAATGCTAAAATGGACACTATGAAAATGTTCAATATTATGACAAAATGGCCCTGTTGTTGCACAAATTTAGCCAAAATTGTTGGTTGGTAGATCAACTGGAATTTGAAAAAATGTTTCAAATAACTTCTTCACTAAACAATAAATTAGCAGGAGAAAACTGATGAAAAAACAATCGATATATATAACTTAAGTTTGAAAAGAGCAAAGAATGCTAAACAAATCAATATATTCCCATTTATCGCCAACTTTGAATGTTCATAAGCGCCATTGTATATTGATTTTCTGCCATGCGAGGTCCAATTTTGGGATTTGTAACTTCTAATATAAAGCTTAACCTAATATTAAAAGGCAAAGATTTTAGTTACCAAACTGAGAAAACTTGCATTACTTAAGGACATACAGGTCCAGGGAGGAAACATCGAAAATAAGCTCTTTAAGACAATTTTAACCACATTATGTCTAATAAACTACTTGTATATTCTGAATGACTGATCTGCAAAGCACGCAAAAGTTGGTTTGAAAAAAATACTTTCTATGCAAAAATATGCATTGCAGAAGTACACAAACACTCCAGAAATATATAAATTGTTTATTATTTACAAAAGAAATGAATACATTTCTTCAAAAAGAAAAATTAATACAAAAAATAAAAGGCCCCCAATTTACACAATTCGACTGCTTTTTAATTTCTGGATTAACTTTTCTTTATGTACAAATATATTCATTTCTATTTGTAAATAAAACAATTTACATGTTTCTGGAGGTTTATGTTACTGAAATGCACAGTTTTGTGTAGAAAGTATTTTTTCAAACCAAGTTTTAAAGTGCTTATTATGGTTCAGCCATTCGGACTATCCAAGGAGTTTATTAGACAAAATATGCTTAAAATTGTCTTAGGAGTTTATTTACGAAGTTTTTACATTTCCTCCCTGGACACAGTACATCTTAACAATTATCATTAAAGTCACTTTTGTTGCAGTGTCACTTAGAGTCACAATTGTTGTAGTTATTACAATTTATGTATAATGGCAGCAAACCTATTATTGAATGAATGCATTCAATAAGCACAGAAGAGTTAGAAGAGACATAGGTACAGAAGTAGAAGAAGAATACAGAAGTACTCAGGAAACAGAATAACATTGAAGAAGGGAAAAGGAAAAACAAGAGAGAGAGAGAGAGAGAGAGAGAGAGAGAGAGAGAGAGAGAGAAAAGTGCAAAGAATAAAGAAAATGCAACAAGTAGTAAGAAAACGAATTCAGGCAAGTAAAGGAGGGCAGAAACTATGATATTATGACAAAGTTGAGCAAGGACCACAGAGAAGAGAGCTATATGTGACAATGGCAAGGAGGTGACAGAATTACTCTTCACACTAAATTCGCTAACATCGATTTTGATTTGAAATTTTGATAATGATCTGTACTTGCTGGTTCAGTAGGCACAGAGCAAAAAGACAGCAGAGTATGAAGAGATTTGAATATAAGCTGTACAAGGCACTGTTGCTCCTTGTTTTCTGATGGTGTAAACAGAAAAAAATGTATACATGAGACAGCAATCACACTTGGTGGCAAATCAATTGACAGGAAAATTATTTTGTTTTCTTGCCATCAACTGCCACACAACATTCAGAATTCTACTGAAATAACTCGGAAAATAGGTAAAATTAAGAAATTATGATCTTCATTATTAACATTTTCATATTGACCAAGCACAACTATCACACAAGGCAAGAAAATGTAGTGTTACAAAAATATTTTTTTATTAACATCAGACTAATTTTGTACTTCATTTCAATTTCAACATTCTCTGCTCTGCACTCTACAAAATCTTTAGTGCATTATAAATGTTGTTTAATTTAGTTCATTAACTTGCATAAATCACTGTTTAAATTTATTGTAATAGTCTTTGTGAACTATTAGGGAATGAAGATACAAAGATTTTTCAATTCAGTAATTATTTGATTTTTAAAAAGCTTGTGATTTACAATTAATACTAGCACAATGAAAAATATCCAATTATGAATTGGTTTACATTTGAAAAGGAACATATTGATATCAGACCAGTTTGTAACTAGTACACTTGCCATACACAGATTCTTAAGAAAAATGAACAAATTTGGGGCTCCAGTTACATATGAGATTCTGTCTTGAATAATACTATTTATCTTAAATTTCACAGATGGCACTATATGAGGTTTGTTATCAGTTACTTGTCATGTTTTTAGTAACAGTTCAATTGAAAATACATAAAGAGAAAAAAAAGAAGGGGGAAAAAAAAAATCGCTGTTTTCCAGTGCATAATTACAATGCTTTCTCTTTTTACAACGTAATGGCGAGAAAGTAATAATACTTCAGCAGCTTGCAGCAATCCTGACCTACCAATTCAGCAGAATAGCAATTCTAAAACACTAACTTAGAGAGCAAGCCAATGAAAGATTTCAGAATGTAATGGAAGTAGCTGCTAATTAGTGAATATGCCACATTTTTTTATTGAATCTGCAGTGTTAAAAGTCTAAAAGGTAGAAAGTAAATTAATAAATTCAAAACATAAGGGTGTAGGCAAGACAAATATGTGAAGGCATGACCTGACTAGATGGGGAATGTTTCAGTTAAGTCCACTAAAATTCTCACTTGCAAAACATGAACCCTTCACTTCTGACCCACTTTTTTAATGCCTATGTTCATTATAATCACTGTAAATATAACTTATTTTCTTTGATATCTAGCAAAACATCTTCCAGCTCCACAAACTTTCTTTAATATTTTATTTATTATTAGAATCCTTTTCATATTTCCAGAAGTTTGAAACTCGAATAAACATTCTGCAAGAAAACGTAAGGACCTTTTTTTATATAACACTACCAAATACATCTCAAACAAACCTCTAATGATAATGCTCAATTAGAACATCTACAAACATAATGTAACTAAGAACAATATGATAGGCAAAAGAACTATGAAATAATTCAAATGCATATGAACACAAAAACTGATGAATTATAGTAGGTTTCTATAAGACATTTGTTTAAAAATGCCTAATAAAATCTAAAGAATTATAATATCTTCTAAAGAAACTTACAACATTGATTCAAGTTTGGGGGAGACTTACAAGCAATCCCTCTGAATATTTTCTAGAATTTGCTCAATTTTCTGCATATGCCACAATCTAACCAATTTATGACTAAAATTACAACTACATTTTAAGATTTTAAGAGTTTTCAAGTCTTTGAAAAGGTAACTGAAAATGTTACAAAGATGTTTAATGTATGTATCTGGAGGCCAATTTCAATTAAACAAATACAGTGAAACTATGAAACGGTAATACATCCTGTCTAGCATCTTTCATGCACTTCATCTGTGGCATGGCATCTGTGTAGCATCCTTCAGGCATGCACGTACAAACTTCGAAAAAAAATTCCAAAATCATATTTGTTCTACGAAATGAGGATTTTTTTCCTGATATTCAAAATGTAATAGGTAGTAACTGACAACACAAATTAATACTTAACTGGTAAAGCCTTTTAGACTGGTAACATTAGAAGTAATATCAGTCTCCAAGACTGCTACATATTTAATTTTATTTGTACAAATCGCACAGTATATACTTTCTAATTAGTTTTAAAAGTTAGTGAAACATTATTATAATGAATTAATATACACCGGAAACGATGAAACACCATGAACACTTTTCTAAATTTTTTTTATAAGAAAAATAATTCTTCAAAAACATGATCATATACACATTCTAAAAGTATTTTAAACATGTATGTGGTATGTATTTACATTGCCGATTTTCTGGAAATTAGTTAATTTGCACTCCCAGACTGCCCTGCTGCCAATATCTAACATATCCAAAGCACAACTGTAAGAAAGAAAACATAACCTAACATAATCATGTGCCTTCAAGTTAACAAGTAATTCAGATTATATGCAATATTACGAATTAATATTTAAATTCCTTGCAGATGAACTACCCCCAATATATGAAAAATATATTATATACCTCTTTTGTTAATAATAACATGGATAGCTGAATTTTTGCTTTTTGAAATAACTCAAATACTTTTTGCATTCAAATGTTGAAGGGTGTGGTGACCCTGAGCTTTGCTCCAGTAACTCAGCACTGTGTGCGC